GTGATTTTGGTTGCAATAGTCCTTACCTCAAGGCTAACAACAAATCTTAAATGTCAAACATATCTTGATAGGTAACTCACACGTCACTAGGAAGTTATTGGGTCGAAGGATTACAATTTAGGAGAGATAAATCAAGAAAACGAGAAACGGTGTGAATTAGGCAACAAACACACTTACCGGAAGAATCGATTATTTGATCACGTTCTTTGCCTCAAAAGTCATGTTGTATGTGTTAGTATTGAAGAGATAGAAGAGATAGAGCTTATAGAGGCGGTCCTAGGGTTTTTGGAATGATTAAAATCATATTAGGGATGTATTTATAGTGAATTTCTGAAGTTGGGTCGAATTAGGCTAGAATTAGGGACACACTGTTGGGTGTGTTTCGAAAAACAAAGAAAATTAATTAATAAAGATTAATTAAATAAAATGACTTAAAGAAAAACAAGAAATGAGATGAAGCAGAATAAGCCAAAGCTCGTGTTACGCACGATTTCCTTAAAACGTATTCGTTGCCTCCCGGGGTGCTAGGAGCGTTGCAACGATCGTGAACAAAAGCAGAACACCGAAGGAGTTTGTATGGAGTGCTAGAGGAACTGTTCTAGCTATGAAAATACGTGAACGAAGTGTATGAAAGGTTGTGTCTTTGCAAAGCACCTACTAGCCTTTTATAGGGGTGGATTAAGGTGTGTTAATGGCTGTTTAAGGGTTATGATCGTTGGACATCAATGTCCTAAACGTTGGGCATTGATTCCAGTCCTTAAACAACCCAAAACGTTCATATGAACATTGGGACATCAATGGCAACATATAGACGTTGGGCATTTATGTGCAGGGAGCAAAAATTAAAGTAGGAACGTACCGGAAGAACAAAAATTAACGTTATCTTTAGAAGATATATTTTCGGACAGCATTCGTGTGTGCAGGTCGCCCGCACACGCAAGTCGCAGTTTTTGTTCTTCGGTTTCGGGATTTGATTCGCACCCCCCCCTGCGCGCGTGAGAGAGCCTTTCCCTTTAGGAATCTTAACTCCTTAGGGGGGGTTTCCCTTTATAAAGGGTTCAAATTCCCTTGTGATTTTCGGTGTGGGAAAGAACCCACACTAAAACCCACATTTTCCTAGTTTTCTCCATTCCAACGGGTAAACTTCGAAAAACAAATTCTCATTCACCCGTTATCCGTTTTGAGTGTACCATATATCGAATTGTAGCCCTGAGCAAGGATAATCCGAAACCACTTTGACCCGACCCAAATCGGAAGTGGACCCCACTCCAATAATTGCCCCAAAAAGATCATTTAATACACTTTTAACACATTTTTTCAACAATCCCCCACATGAATGAAAATTGATTTTCGAGACTTAAAAAGACACGAAGATAGGAGGACACGTTGTGTTTACCGGATGATCCCTGCACACGGAGAGGTAGGTTTTATCCTTTGAACCTTCCGCTGTAAAGACATGTTTATTTACTGGCTGTCTAGTAGACTCAATGTCCTTGAACTATACTGCCGTCGTGTAAACATTGACTTATCTTTACACAAGAACCTTCCAACTTTGTTCCGTTCTCATGGGTGTGCCCGTTTTGGCCATGGGTCACCGTCCTGGTTCTGCAAGAGTTTCTAAAGAACTGAGCCTTTACAGTTCTCCTTTGAAGCAGCCCTCTTTTCTCTCACATAGGTGATTCTTTCACGAGTATCCCGCATACTCTTCCAATGTTGTCGAGTAGATCAACATTTTAGAATCATTAAAGCAAACGTTTTTGCTAACCTCGTGCGGGAGTCACTGTTTTAAACGAGGAGTGGGTAGGAGTCTGGGACCCCCACAATGATTATCCTTCGCCCTATAATTTAGTTGTCCCTTTTGAACCTAGGACCAACTAGGTTGGGTATCCACTATAGAACTTTTCAATTCACGGGCTTTAGTCCCATTCCTCGTGACAACTTCTCCAACAATTCTCTATCCAATGCCTTGGTTAGCGGATCTGCTATGTTATCCTTTGACTTCATGTAGTCAACAGTGATAACACCCGTTGTGAGGAGTTGTTTAATGGTGTTATGTCTACGACGAATGTGTCTAGACTTATCATTGTACATATTGCTCTGTACCCTTCCAATTGCCGCTTGACAATCGCAATGTGTGCATATTGAAGGGACAGGCTTTTCCCAACTTGGAATATTCTCAAGAAAATGGCGTAGCCATTCAGCCTCTTCAGTGCACTTATCCAAGGCTATTAGCTCAGACTCCATCGTGGATCTAGCTATTAACGTTTGTTTTGAGGATTTCCATGACACGGCTGCACCTCCCAAAGTGAAAACATATCCACTTGTGGACTTAGAGTCCTTTATGTCGGATATCCAACTAGTGTCGCTATACTCTTCAAGTACAGCTGGATATCTTCCATAGTGCAGTCCAAGGTTTTGGGTTTTACGTAAATACCTCAAAACCCGTATTATTGCCTTCCAGTGTTCATCACCGGGGTTGCTAGTATATCTACTTAGCTTACTAACCACAAAGGCAATGTCAGGCCTGGTACAACTCATTAGATACATCAAGCTTCCAATAATCCTAGCGTATTCTACTTGAGAAATAGACTCTCCACGATTTTTGGTAAGTTGTACGTTTTTATCTAATGGAGTCCTTGCCTCTTGATAATCATCCTTATTAAATTTCGTAAGGATTTTATCAACGTAATGGGATTGGCTTAGCGTAAGATCGTCAGGTCCTCTAATTATTTTAATCCCAAGGATTAAATCGGCCAGCCCTATATCCTTCATGTCAAATTTAGAATTTAACATGCTTTTGGTAGAATTAATCATTAGATTATTGCTACCCACGATAAGTATATCATCCACGTATAAACATAAAATTACATAGCCGTCTACCGTGCTCTTCACATAGACGCATTTGTCACTTTCGTTTATTTTAAACCCATTAATTAACATTGCATGATCGAACTTTTCGTGCCACTGTTTAGGGGCTTGTTTTAATCCATACAATGATTTAATTAATTTACACACTTTCCTTTCTTGGCCTGGAACACGAAAGCCTTCAGGCTGTTCCATATAGATTTCTTCGTCTATATCGCCATTTAGAAAAGCGGTTTTTACGTCCATTTGATGAACTTCCAATTTCCGCAATGCGGCAATTGCTAGTATCATCCTAATGGAATTTATTCTCGTCACCGGAGAATACGTGTCAAAGTAATCATGGCCCTCACGTTGCTTGTATCCCTTGATTACAAGTCTGGCCTTGTACTTATCGATGGAACCGTCAGGTTTCATTTTCCGTTTAAAAATCCACTTGGATCCCAAAGGTTTATTTCCCGGAGGAAGATCAACCAATTCCCATGTGTGATTTTTAAGGATAGAATCCACCTCACTTTTGATGGCTTCTTTCCACACAGGACCTTCAGTAGACGTCACGGCTTCCGTATAAGTCCGTGGCTCATTTTCTACCAATCATGTTAGAAAATCCGGTTCATTTTCTACCACACATGTTAGAATATCCGAGTCAACTTCTACCAGGTAGGTGAGAAAATCTGGTCCGAAGGATTTTTCAATTCTAGCACGTTTGCTACGTCTGGGTTCGGGTTCTTCTCAGGAGCCCTCGCTAGTATTTTCCATAGCTACGTCAAATGTTCGTTTTGACGTGCTAGGCCCTTCGATGGACTTGCATGGAAATACATATTCAAAGAATGAAGCATTCCTTGATTCAATTATTGTGTTTTTATGTACATCCGGATTATTCGAATCGTACACTAAAAACCGATAAGCACTACTATTTTGTGCATACCCAATAAAAATACAATCCACCGTTTTTGGACCTATTTTTATTTTCTTAGGTGTTGGTACAAGCACCTTAGCAAGACACCCCCACACTTATAAATATTGATAGGAAGGCCGTCAGCCTTTCCACAACTCGTACGGAGTTTTATCATATTTTTTCCGGGGAACCTTATTTAAAAGGTAATTGCTTGTCAAGATTGCTTCGCCCCACATATTTTGTGGCAAGCCCGAACTTACTAGCATCACATTCATCATATCTTTCAATGTGCGATTCTTTCGTTCGGCAACACCGTTTGATTGAGATGAATAGGGTGCGGTACGTTCGTGTACTATACCCACACTTGCACAAAAGTCACCAATTGGTGATTCATACTCACCACCTCGATCACTCCTAACCGTTTTAATCCGTCGATTAAGTTGGTTTTCCACTTCATTCTTATAAAGAATAAATTTATCGATTGCTTCGTGTTTTTTTTTTAATAAATAAACATAGCTATAGCGAGTGCTATCATCGATAAAAGTAATAAAATATTTATTACCGCCACGTGTTTGTATTGATTTAAAATCACAAACGTCACTATGAATTAATTCTAGTGGTTCCGTTTTTCTTTCAACCGATTTGAAAGACGTTTTCGCTAGTTTTGCCTCTGACAAAACGTAGGGAAGTAATAGGGAATAAAATCAACTTTATTATTATTCTTGTTCTGCTTTGAACCATACGGCCAATCCTTTAAATAGGAGAAGAACCGATACAGAGAATAGCTTTTCTAAAAGGAAACAATCACAAATAATAAAAGAAATAATTACAAGTTATTTGCTTAACATAAATAATATACTATATCCCGTAATACCCCCCCTCAAGTTGGAGCATGGGGATCAAGAATGCCCAACTTGCGTAGGAGAAAATGAAATTGCGTCTTGCCCAGGGCTTTGGTGAAGATATCTGCCAGCTGAATAGTAGTCGGTACATAATTGGGAGCAATTAGATTGTCTTGAATAGCATTACGAACGAAGTGACAGTCCACCTCAATATGTTTTGTACGCTCATGGAAGACAGGATTCCGAGCAATATACAAGGCAGACTGACTGTCACAAAATAGAGGAATGGCTTGGGGATGATGAATTCCCAAACTAAGGAGAAGAGCTTTGAGCCATTTTAATTCACAAGTGGCAGCCGCCATAGAGCGGTATTCAGCTTCAGCAGAAGACCGAGCTACGGTTGTTTGCTTTTTAGTTTTCCAAGAAACCGGAGAGTGTCCAAGAAAAACCAGCCAACCAGATACGGATTTCCGAGTAAGGGGGCAGGCGGCCCAATCGGAATCACACCATCCGGTAAGAGTAAGATCACTATCAGCCCGAAGCAAAATTCCCTGACCTGGGGAACCTTTTAGGTATCGAACAACCCGCAGAGCAGCATGCCAATGATCTAGACGTGGGCTGTGAAGAAATTGAGATAAAATATGAACCGCATAAGTCAAGTCTGGACGGGTAACAGCCAGATAAATGAGGCGTCCCACCAGGCGACGATATGGTTCAGGATCCGTGAGAGAAGGACCTGAGGTGTGAGCAAGATTATGATTTTGTTCAATAGGGAAAGCCGCAGGTTTAGCGCCAAGAAGACCAGCCTCAGTAATAATATCTAGTGCATATTTGCGCTGAGTGAGAAATAACCCAGAAGAACTCCGAGCAACTTCAATGCCAAGAAAATATTTCAGTTTCCCCAGATCTTTCATATGGAAACAGTCACTGAGATAAGATTTAAAAGAATTAATGGCCACTGAATCATTGCCAGAAATAATAAGGTCGTCCACATACACCAAGACGTTCAACTGAACAGAGTCAGTAGCACGTGTAAAAAGAGAATAATCTGCAAAAGACTGAGTGAAACCATAACGTTGTAAAGCACTAACAAGTTTGGCAAACCAACACCTGGGTGCCTGCTTAAGGCCATACAAAGATTTTTTAAGACGACAGACCAAGGTAGGATCAGGAGTAGAATAGCCTGGAGGTAAAGTCATGTACACCTCTTCATGAAGATCCCCATGAAGAAAGGCATTGTGAACATCCAACTGATGTAATTCCCAGTTTTTAGAAGCAGCAACAGCTAAGAATGCACGCACAGTCACCATTTTAGCAACTGGAGCAAAAGTTTCAGTATAATCCAGCCCGGCAACCTGGCGGTTGCCAAAGATAACCAATCGGGCCTTATGACGCTCCACACGTCCATCGGCATGATATTTAATTTTGTAGACCCACCTACATCCTAAAGCCCGCTTTCCGGAAGGGAGAGGAGTGAGGGTCCATGTAGAATTTTTTTCAAGAGCTTGAATTTCTGCCTGCATGGCTTCACGCCATTCGGGATGCTTAACCGCCTCACGAAAAGATTGAGGCTCTGTGTGTGAGGAGACAGCTGCAAGAAATATACGATGTGGCGCAGAAAAATTATCACAACTAACATAATGTGTAATAGGAAACGGTGTACCTGCGGAAGCTGATGGAGTCGGAGAGGGAGAAATGGGATTCTGTCGAATAACTGTATGAGTAACATAGTCCTTCAGACGGACCGAAGACTGCTTAGCACGCAAACCGCGACCCAAAGGGATATTTTCTTCCACATGAGACAACATATCTGGTGGTACATCAACCGAGGTAGTAACAGGAGGAACATCAACCGGGATCGTGTCCACGGGAGGAACATTCGTGGCTGGGGAGGCCACATCTAATACATCATCATACGTTGCTGGCAAAATCGGAGGAGAGGCACTAAGTTCGTCTGAATCCGAGGCCAAAGGGGGTGGCGAATCCGCAAAAGGAAATTGGTCTTCAAGAAATTTAACATCACGGGATACAAAGTATTCATGTGTATCCAAGTCAAAAACATGCCATCCCTTTTTGCCAAAAACATACCCAACAAAAACACACTTGCGGCTGCGACTACCGAATTTATCAGTTTTAGATTTCAAATTATAGGCATAGCAAAGACATCCAAAGGTGCGCAACTGGTCATAGCAAGGTGGTTGACCAAAAAGAATATCATAAGGCGTTTTAAAATGAAGTACAGACAACGGTGTGCGGTTAATCAAATAGGCGGCAGTGAGGACACACTCACCCCAAAAAGAAATAGGCAAATTAGCCTGAAACCGTAAAGCCCTCGCCACATTGAGAATGTGTTGATGCTTGCGTTCGACCCGCCCATTCTGTTGCGGTGTCCCAACGCAGGAGGTTTGAAAGATAATCCCACTAGTGTGGAAAATTTTTTTCAAACAATTAAACTCTGTTCCATTGTCACTACGCACAACGCGTACCTGTTTAGAAAATTGTCTCTCCACCATAGCAAGAAAAATCATAAACATTTTAAATACTTCAGTTTTGTCCATCAACAAATATATCCATACAGCACGAGAACAATCATCAACAATAGTCAAAAAAAAATTTGCACCACAAGAAGATGGAGTATGATAGGGACCCCACAAATCACAATGGACTAACTCAAAAATATCATGAGTTTTATTACTACTAATGGGAAACGAAGCCCGGTGCTGCTTAGCCCTAAAACAAATGTCACATGCGGAATTAAAAGAACCCCTTAAATTACTCACTGGTGCTAACCAACGCATCACATTGCCAGATGGATGTCCAAACCGTTTGTGCCATAAATCAAAGATAGAATTTTCGCTACTTGCAACTGTCAAAATGCGGGCAGTAGGTGAATCTTGAAGATAGTACAACTCATTTCTCCTCTCACTCGTTCCAATCAGCTTCCTCGATACTCGGTCCTGTATAACACACAAGTCAGAGGAAAATTGAACAAAACAATTAAGCGCATCATTTAATTGAGTCACCGAAATAAGATGACACTTCATTTGAGGAACAAATAGGACATGTTGCAAACATAATCCATTAGAAAACTTAACACATCCTTCTTTAGTAGCTTGAACCGTTTTTCCATCGGGCAATCCAACCGAACACGGAGTTATGTTCTGAGTTTTAAATAGAAGATTTAAATCACCACAAATATGATTTGTAGCGCCGGTGTCTATGATCCAAGTGCCGGTGGAAAAATTACCTGCCATGCGACCAGACGATGATTGTGGGTTACCAAAGGCCGTTATCAAAGCCTGCCATTGCTCTGGGGAGAACCCAGGCAATGGTGTACCTGCTGTTTTATCACATGCGGCTGGTTCCTGTGGCAGAATGGTGTCTGCCACTGCTGCATGAGCTTTAGCCATCGATTTGTCTCGTCCAGTCCCCTTCGGTATTCCCTTGCCGCGACCTGCAGTTTTAGTGTCGGCCCTGGGTCTATCCCCCCACCAATCGGGATACCCCTTTAACTCGAAGCAGCTATTCACATCATGGCCGGTGTATTTGCAGTAAGAGCAAACTAAGCCGGTCTTGTCAATTTTAGTTCCGCGCCCGTATGCACGGCCATCAGTTTTGACAGCAAAACCGAGAATATCCGGTGTTTCCGAACCAGCAGTCATGCCCCTCACGCGTTCTTCCTGCACGGTGTTTTGATATGCGCGATTCAGAGTCGGAAGTGGAATCTGCGTGAGAAGCTGTGACCGAATAGGACCAAAACTTTCAGCATTTAGTCCCATAAGAAACTGATGAAAACGTTCATCTGCCCTGCGTTTTTCATGTTGCTTTCCCACGTTACAAGTGCAACGGCCACATTGACATTCAATTATTGGTTCATGATTGTTTAATTCATCCCACAGAATTTTCAATTTGGCATAATACATACCAATTGACATCCCTTTGGCCTGTGTACACCTTGCCAAATCAGTTTTGACTTGGTGTAATTTCGGGCCGTCTACGACTGAAAAACGTTCTCGGAGATCATCCCACAGAGCTTGCGCATTATCATACATAGACAGAGTATTCTTCACATCCGGAGAGATGGTGTTGAGGATCCAGGACACCAACATAGAGTGAATCGTAATCCAATCATCCTCCGTACATGGCGGTTTGGGTTTGGTGATGGTGCCATCAACGAACACATATTTTCGTCTAGCACGCAACGCCAATCGAATCGCATTCGCCCAATTGTCATAGTTATCTCCATTCAGCCGCACCGGGGTAATGGAATCGCCTGGACGATCTTGCGGCCCCAAAAAATAGGGCGAGTTGTGGTCTATCTTCGCCGGTGGCTGCCCGGCAGCGTCATCTTCGTCATTGGCCATGGCAGCGTTTTAAAGCTCTGATACCATGACAAAACGTAGGGAAGTAATAGGGAATAAAATAAACTTTATTATTATTCTTGTTCTGCTTTGAACCATACGGCCAATCCTTTAAATAGGAGAAGAACCGATACAGAGAATAGCTTTTCTAAAAGGAAACAATCACAAATAATAAAATAAATAATTACAAGTTATTTGCTTAACATAAATAATATACTATATCCCGTAATAGCCTCTACACAAACTCCACATTTGTGATTCACATCAATTGTGCATTTAGGAATGTGTTCCATGTTAATTAATCTACGTATAGAATTAAAATTAACATGTCCTAGTCTACCATGTCACACATTGGAAGACTCAAGCAAGTAAGCAGAAGAGATTTTATTATTATCATTAATAATAGTCATCACATTGAGCTTAAACAGCCCATCAACTGCATACCCCTTCCCCACATACATTCCCGATTTGGACAAAACTAGTTTGTCCGACTCAAAGACCATGTGGAACCCGTGCTTGTTCAACAAAGAGCCCGAGATCAAGTTTTTGCGTATCTCCGGGACGTATAACACATTGTTGAGAGTCAGCTCCTTGCCCGAAGTCATCTTAGGGACCACCTTGCCCATGCCTTCAACCTCGGAATGAGTAGAATTCCCCATCCACACCTTCTCACCGTTTGATGGCTCAAAGGTTGTGAATAGCTCCCGGTTAGAGCAAATGTGCCGGGTTGCACCGATGTCCACGAACCACTCCTTGGAATTGGATCCAACGAGGTTGACTTCGGTAACCACAGCCGCTAGGATGATGTCTTCATCCTTTTGCCCACCTTGCACCAAGTTGACTTGGGAGTCTTTCTTCTTCCGTGGTGCCTTGCAATCCGAGGACTTGTGTCCATTCTTGTTGCAATTGAAGCATTTTCCATTAAATTGGGGTTTGGAAACGCCTCCCTTGGGACCGAGCTTGCTCTTCCCATTATTTTTATTTTTGGAGCCTTTTGCATGCTCCACCACATTGGCCTTGGCGCCGCTAACGATTGGGAGTCTCCCATCGTTCTTCCGATTATCCTCTTCAATCCGCAGACGGAGGATCAACTGTTCCAAGTTCATTTCCTTTCTCTTATGCTTAAGGTAGTTCTTGAAATCCTTCCAAGCCGGCGGCAATAAATGGATAATTGACGCCACTTGGAAAGACTCGCTAACCGTCATTCCTTCATCTCGAATTTCGTTGAAGATCATTTGCATTTCTTCAATTTGACTCAAGACCGTCTTCGAATCCACCATTTTAAAATCAAGGAATCGACCGACAACAAATTTCTTTGCACCGGCTTCCTCGCTCTTATATTTGTGGTCCAAAGCATTCCATGGTTCCTTAGCCGTAGTTAATTTACTATACACGTCGTACAGAGAATCATGCAGCCCGTTCAACACGTAGTTTCGGCAAAGGAAGTCATAATGCTTCCAAGCCTCAACCGCGTTGAAAGATTGCGCATCCACCTCACCCCCGGTTACTACCGGCGCATCCTCGGTCAAGAAACGTGCAAGACCGAGAGTAGTGAGATAGAAGAGCATATTTTGTTGCCACCTCTTGAAGTTTAACCCATTAAATTTTTCGGGTTTCTCCACAGAGTTGCTCGGCACGATCACCATAGGGATAGCCCTTTGGTTAACCAAAGCAGATGCACCGCGTTGTGAACTATTGTTCACCGGAGGTCCGCTTTAAGAGTGATTATCGTTCAAACCGTTCAAAGCATTCTGCCCAACAACATTTTCATTTTCTTGAGAAGTCATTTTTCGTTTCTTACGTTATTCGAAAGCACAAAAAAAACAAGTTCGTTCACCAAGGTGACAAAGTACAAGTTTTAAGATTGTTTACCGTAGTAGAACAATCACCGAATACGTTTTAAGATTGTTGGGTGTGTTTCGAAAAACAAAGAAAATTAATTAATAAAGATTAATTAAATAAAATGACTTAAAGAAAAACAAGAAATGAGATGAAGCAGAATAAGCCAAAGCTCGTGCTACACATGATTTCCTTAAAACGTATTCGTTGCCTCCCGGGGTGCTAGGAGCGTTGCAACGATCGTTTCCCAGGATACGATGACTTCGAACAATAGTTTAGCACTCAAACTAAAGTCCCACGATCTTTAGAAGATAGATTTTCGGACGGCATTCGTGTGTGCAGGTCGCCCGCACACGCAAGTCACGGTTTTTGTTCTTCGGTTTCGGGATTTGATTCGCACCCCCCCCTGCGCGCATGAGAGAGCCTTTCCCTTTAGGAATCTTAACTCCTTAGAGGGGGTTTCCCTTTATAAAGGGTTCAAATTCCCTTGTGATTTTCGGTGTGGGAAAGAACCCACACTAAAACCCACATTTTCCTAGTTTTCTCCATTCCAACGGGTAAACTTCGAAAAACAATTTCTCATTCACCCGTTATCCGTTTTGAGTGTACCATATATCGAATTGTAGCCCTTAGCAAGGATAATCCGAAACCACTTTGACCCGACCCAAATCGGAAGTGGACCCCACTCAAATAATTGCCCCCAAAAGACCATTTAATACACTTTTAACACACTTTTTCCAACACACACGCCGTGCGTGCAACACGGTGCGGAAAATCAGTCAGACGCACGGACTTTAGGCACGCCGCGCCTGCTGCCATGCATGGCTGGCAGTAGCCTCCCCTCTCAACCTCCATGTCACGCACGGCGTGCGTGACCCCCCAAACGCACCAAAGTTGTTTTTTGCTCTGTTTCTTCCCCGTTTGGGCCTCCCCTTGGTCCTAAACATCTCACTAAACATCATAAACTATATTGAAACCTTCTAAACGTATAAAACATAATTTTAAATATTCCTCAAATTTTTTGGGTATTACACATTAAACATAACATATAATGCCTGACTGTACAGTGAGCACTGTACAACCGGGTGTACAGTGTACACTCTCTCTCCCATACCTCCATCTCAGCAGAAATTATTTGAGGGGCGAAACCAGTAGAATAAGAATATTTGTACTTGAACTTATTTGAGTCCTACACCAGACTAGACCTAAAAATTCAAGTCTAAGTAAAACATACAAAGAAGAAGCATGTCTAAAATTGAGAAATACTCATGTATATTTATAATTAAAACATAAAAATAATAAAAATCTTTATAAATTTATAATCAAAATGAAAGAATAAACAAAATAAAATCAAACAAATAAATAAATAAACTTACAAGAATAATAAATAAATAAATAAATAAATAAATAAAATACATAAAAATATAAAAGAAATATGTAAGCCTTTGCAGCCTCCCAACGAAAAAGGATGACACTCCATCCCTGAGGGCCCCCCCAACCCCGACCGGACGGTACGTTGGAAGGATGTAAATTGGACTATAATCCCAATCTGACAGATAGAGAGTGGGGCTATGTCCCCGGTACTTGCAGAGGCCCTGTGCATTTTTAGCATAGTAACCCCCTCATCCCAGTTGCCGGGATTCGAACCCGGGACCTAACCCTTGTGGCACTCTCTTGCTACCAGTTGAGCTACGCCCACCGATATTTGCAGCCTCCCAACACCGTCACCTCCTATTGTCAAAAAAATGTCACCTTGTGTAAAAGAGCCACTTTCCCTGAAGATGTCGTGAAAATGACATCATTATCCTTTCAAAATGCTAAACTTTGCTCTCAAATTGTCATCAAGATAACATTATTTTTACAAATTTCATTTTCTCAGCAATCTGAGGTGGCAGTGTTGGTAGGTGGGTGAGGCGGCGGCTAATGCCTTCATTTTTTTTCGTTTCTATTTTCATGTACTACTAATACTACATTTTTAATTATTATATATAAAAAATCTCATTAAAGCATGACAATCAGACAATGGTAGGAAAGCAAAGGTAACCCCTATTTTGAGAATTTCAACCTTATACTCCTATTTTGCAAGTTAGTTTTATTGACTCCTATTTAGAGAATTATGTCTAAAAATCTGAATAAAAGATTCATTATTCATGTGAGGAAGTCCCGAGTTCATGTTAACTTTTCAATGTATAAGAGTGGGTTTTTAGTAACTTACGTCAATTATTTGTTTCCATCAATGTTTTGTTCTAAGAAAGCCTTAAATTTCTCCACATCCTCTATCTCCTCGCTCAACAACTCTTCTTGCTCTCATCGATTTTTATTGATGCTACTCCCGTCTTCATCTTTGATTCCGTTGAAATCGACTTCGCCTCCATCTTCATCGTTGCCTCAATCCCAATCTTTGTCTTCTTCTATTCTTTCTGCCGATCGCGGGCCACTTAGGGTTTGTGGGTATGACAACAATGCGGCGACGAGAATCGAGTTAATTAGAGACGGCTAGGGAGGCAATGTGGTGGTTTCATTTGGTTATCGTACCGCCGTTGCAGTGCAGGGGGTGGGAATTGGGAGGTGGGATAACGATTGTAAATGGAATTGGGAGGGGCTAGGGCTGAGAAGGGGCTTTGGCTAGGGAGGGTAGTGGATCGACGCTAGGGATGAGGAGGGGGCTGGGTTGATGGGGGAATGGATAGGGGGATTGAGAGGTTGGCCGCTAGGGAAGGGGGCTAGGATGGAGAGGGGATTGGGGAGGCTAGCAGCTAGGTGGAGGGTTGGGCTAAGGGAGGGGTTGGAGAGGGGACCGGGGAGGGGACGCCCGCTAGATGGGCGGCAACTACCGGAAGAAGTGGAGTAGCGGTCATTGAATAGGGCAATAGGCTAGAGCGGTGGTCACCGAAGCGGTTATAATTGTAACTCACCATTAACCAACAATGGTCACTGTGCATGGCAATGGTCACTGTTTGACGGCGATCATTGTGACCAGTGATGGTCATTGTCACCGGTTGCCATTAACGTCAATAGTCACTAACTCCGGTGATCGCTCTTATTGGGTAAGGAGTATAAGGGGGTGTTTGGAACTGATTCTCATTCTGCTTCTTTTTTAAAGCAGAAGCGGAATCAGAATCAGTTTTCAGAAGCTAGTCACCCCCAGCTTCTAAAAAAACTTATTCTAGGAGTAAATTAGAGCACCAGAATCACTTCTGCACTTTTACCCAAACACTCCAACTTCTGCTTCTGCTCCCCTAAATGGCAAAAGCAGTTTTAAGAATCAAATCCAAACACCCCATAAATGGCCTTAAAAATCACTCTTTTGAAAAAAAAATTAAAATTAGTTTGCGGGTACTAGACTCGTTAGAGCTAGAGTGATATGGCTTACAAATTGAGATCCTAGCCTCATGGGTCAAGCGGGACTACCCACTAATGTTTTTAATTGGACCATACTTTTGAAATAAACCATACTTAAATAATACTACGTAATAAATACATAAATATAGACTAACGACTAAAACAAATTGAATTAAATCAGAATTAAACAAACTAATTTATATCAGATTAATAAATGAGAAGATTTAGTTCAATTAAAAACATAGTAGGATCTATTTGAAAAGATATTCTAGGAATCTAAGAGAGTGTTTGAAAGTGATTCTGCTTATGCTTCTTTTTTCAAACGGAAGCAGAATCAGAATCAGTTTTCAAAGTTGGTCTCTCCAACTTCTAAAAACTGATTCTACGAGAAAATTAGAGCATCAGAAGTACTCTCTTCACAGAGCAGAAGCAGTTTTAAGAGAATCGGATTCAAAGATCCCCTAAGATGGTTTGAAATAGGAGTAAGAGGTTGAGATAGAGCATGCAAAATGAAGATATTGTTGGAAATAAAGAGTAACGGTTGAGAAAGAGTAAAAAATGAGGCCACTTGCATGGATGGGTTCTCTTTGTATCCTGCTCGTCGGTGGGGCGGCTGCGGCAGCGGAAATTGCACCTGGCTCAGTCCTCTTAGCATCCGACCCGAATTCTAGCTGGCCATCTCCCAACAACACCTTTTCTCTCTCATTCATCCCCGACCCCGAGGATCCCAACAACTCCAGCTCCTTCTTCGCCGCAATCAGCTACGATGGTAGAACCCCCATCTGGAAGGCTGGCGCCGCCGCCGTTGACTCCTCTGCTGCTTTCCGGTTTCTCTCCAACGGAGATCTTCAGCTCACCGGTGGACCTTCTTCTACTCCCACTGTTTTCTGGAGCTCGAACACCGCCGGCCGCGGTGTATCCTCCGCCCACCTTGACGACTCCGGTAATCTCGTTCTTAAGAACGCCACCGTTTCGGATATCTGGTCTACTTTTGATCATCCCACCGATACCATCGTTCCCTCCCAAAATTTCACCCTAAACAAAATTTTGAAATCGGGGAACTTCTCCTTCAGGCTGAGGCAAAACGGTAACTTAACGCTTTTGTGGAACGGTTCAATTGCTTATTATAATTCCGGGTTGAACTCTTCTTCCAACGCGAACTTGAGTTCCCCTAGTTTGGGAATGGCCCCAGTCGGCATCCTATCCCTTTTCGACCCGAGCCTTCCCATTCCCTTGAATGCGGTCTATAGCAGCGACTATGCCGAGGAGGGAGATATCCTCAGGTTCGTGAAGCTCGACAGCGATGGAAATCTCAGGATTTATAGCTCCGCAAAGGGGACTGGAGTTGCCAATGTCCGATGGTCTGCTTTGAGTGACCAATGTAAGGTTTTTGGATATTGTGGGAATTTGGGGATCTGCAGTTACAGCAATTCCGTTCCCATTTGTGGCTGCCCTTCATCAAATTTCGAGCCTGTCGATCCTAAAGACGGCAGAAAAGGGTGCAGGAGGAAAGTCGAACTGGCGAACTGCCCTTCGAACGGCAGTATGTTGCAATTGGATCATGCTATGTTCTTGACCTATGATCCCGAACTGGCCGATCAGAGTTTCACTGAAGGTATTTCGCCTTGCAAGCTTAACTGCCTCGTCACTTCCGCTTGCATTGCTTCTACATCATTGGCAGACGGGACGGGGTTCTGTTACCAGAAACTGCCTACTTTTGTCAGTGGGTATCAGTCTCCGACCCTGCCGAGCACTTCGTTCGTAAAGGTCTGTGGAACCCTATTGCCCAACCCATCCGGCATATCATCGCCTGGAAGCCTCGAGAAGATGAGCCAACGGAAGGTGGAGTGGTGGGTGGTCGTAGTTGTTGCCTTAAGTACACTTTTGGGCTTGGTTTTGATAGAGAGCGGTTTATGGCTGTGCTGCTTTAAAAACAGGCGCAAATCGGCCCCATATGTCGTCCTCCATGAGTACGCATCGGGTGCGCCCCTTCAGTTTTCATACAAGGAGCTCCACCGAGCGACGAAAGGGTTCAAGGAGATGCTCGGATCAGGGGGGTTCGGAGCAGTCTATAGAGGCGTTCTCGCCAATAAAACTGTTGCCGCCGTGAAACAGCTGGAGGGAATTGAGCAAGGGGAGAAACAGTTCCGGATGGAGTTCACCACCATAAGCAGCACTCACCATTTGAATCTGGTGCGACTGATTGGGTTTTGTTCTGAAGGACGGCACCGGCTACTTGTCTATGAGTTCATGAAAAACGGCTCACTCGATCAGTTCCTCTTTCCTTCATCTTCCTCATCAGAAAGCAAGCCTCTATGTCTGAACTGGGAGCAGCGATATAACATAGCCCTGGGAACTGCGAGGGGGATAGCATACCTTCACGAAGAGTGTAGAGATTGTATCATTCATTGTGATATAAAGCCTGAAAATATTCTATTGGATGAAGGTTACAATGCGAAGGTTTCTGACTTTGGCTTAGCCAAACTTATCAACTCTAGACACCAGATTAAGGGCGGAACCTTGACGAGCATCAGAGGGACTAGAGGGTATTTTGCTCCGGAATGCCTAGCAAACCTACCTCTTTCCACCAAATCGGATGTTTACAGTTACGGGATGGTTCTGTTGGAGATAATAAGTAGGAAAAGGAATTTCGAAGTCTCTGAGGAGACGAACCAGAGAAGGTTCTCTGTGTGGGCGTATGAAGAATACGAGAAGGGTAATTTTGTGGGAATCTTGGACAAAGAGCTTCCCATCAAAGACACAGATGTGGATCAACTAATGAGAGCTGTTCAAGTTAGCTTTTGGTGCATACAAGAGAAAGCATCTGAGAGGCCGGCAATGGGTAAGGTGATTCAGATGTTAGAAGGCGTTTGTCAGATTGATAGGCCGCCGACGCCTACTGCCAGTCTGACAGAGAAGGGTTGCATTCTTGGAAGTAGTAGTAGTAGAAGTACATAAGTATAAACGCTGGTAGTGCAATATCTCTTTCCTCCTTCAGAGAAGCCCCTCCTTCACAGAAGCCCCTCTTCAGCATCTTCCTTTCATACCTCAGCAATTATTTCTTCTGTTTCTGCATAGCAGAATGTTGAGCGGGGTTGTTCATCACTCTTGCATGCAGAATAAGTTCCAACTTCACTCTGCCAGCTCATCCATGAGATGAGTGCCTGTTTAAATAATTAATTTGGACGTACAATTGTATATTTTTATCCATTCTTCCTTGAAGAAATATACTCCTTCCATCCCATATTGTGTCTGTCCCATTTTCTATTTTGGCCTGTTAAAAAATGTTTGACAAACCATATAAATTTCATTATGAAAAAGGAAGTGATGAAGATAAATTTTAGACAAAGGGAGTATGTGGTATGATTTCTAAAAAATGTAAATTTTCTAATACTAGCAAATGATATTAAGGTTTCTTATTAGCCATTTTTAATGAGTATCATGCGATTATTATCAAGGTGTCATTTGTATTGAGTTCGAATATAGTAAGAATGAATTGCTTCAATTAATGCTTTTTGGAAGCAAGTGGCTTATACTAATAAGAAAGAGCTTAAACAGGATACAATCAGACAAAGAACTCATAGTCTACCGTCTGCCCTTGAACCGGACTTAGAATCTGTCACCTCGAACAAAGCAACCAGATTCGCTGAGCCCAAATTGGGATTACTTGAGCCAATGACTAGTAAACTAAATTCCCTATCACATGTCCTAAGTTCAAGAGTCTTGATAAAATTAAAAATTGTAACAAGCAAAAAAACACGATGTCCGTGAGTCCATAGCAAAAAACAATAAAAATAAAAGCAAGACGAAAAGTAGTAGCAACTTTGATTCTCCGCATGCACCATAACTTCACTGATTGGCGGGCCTCGGATCTCCAGCCCGCCTCCTCCCTGTTTTTTTTGTCCTTCTAGAACCATGGCATCCCCTCCTGGTTGCTCCAGCTCTTGTTCATGTGCTTCCCATGTTCGTCTCCTCTTCTGCTCACCCGAACCACTGTTGTTGACCGTAATCTTTGTGTTCTTTGATTCGTCCCCAACCTCCTGATTCTGGTCTCTCATACAATACTATCTTCCCTGATTATCAATGGAGTTTGTTTGCAACCCTGTGTGGTCTCTCCCTTTTCCTTTCTCGCCTACAAGCCACTTATTGCCTATAGTCGGACGGAATCTCCCCCCCCCCCCCCCCCCCCCCGCCCACAGCCACGAGCCGTAATGTCTCACAGTCTCTGTATCACATTTATCATATAGTGATGGACAAAATTTTTCAGCGTGTCCAATGACTCTGCAGGCAAAACAGAAACTAGGAAGTTTCTCATACTTGAATTCTACCCAATAGGCTTTCCCTTTACTCTTTTTCAATGTCGTTCCCACCTTCAAAGGTTTCCTCACATCCAACATAACCCTGATCCTCATGTAGGCTTCCCACTTTTCATCAAACTCTTTATCATCCCAAGATATGAATTTCCCTAAATAGTTCCCGATTTTACGGGCATAACCCAGATTTGAGAAGCCATAAGGAATATTATGGACCTGAACTCAAAAATCAGTTGTATCTAAAGAGATCTTATGAGGCATATCACCCTGCTTAATAGCTTTTGACACTAGCAGATTCTGGTCAAACAACGAGGGTCCATTATCCAACACATGATTCATATCAATTTTGTGATAAAAAGTAAAAAGATACCTCTTCTCTCCAATTTCCTGATTCAGAATGCCTTTCCTAGGATGCCGGAGGGACGCCATCAGATCACGAAAAAAATGAAATTTCATCACTTTGTCTGTGAGAATTGTACCGACCACCGGAAAAGTCTCTACCCCCTTGCTCGTCGCTTCGGGATCGATTTCCTCGTTTTCCTCGTCATCCAACAACAGCTCGTCCTCTGTACTTTCCAACCCCAACCCCTCGTATTGATCGGCCAGCCTCTCCACACTCTTCTCACTGAAGTCCGTCGAAGTCTCACCAATCGCCGCCGAGGGTTCCCCCTCCTCGTCGTTAATCCCCTTCGTCGACTGTGACGTGGCTCTGCCGCCGCCCTGCTCTCGCGTTTGCCTACCTGCGTGCCATGGTGTTTCGTGAGAATCCATCTCACTGATACCTTTGTCGCACTCCTTCGGCGGAAAGCTCTCAAACCCTATGAAGAGGGATAGACCGCTTTACTCATTGGGTGGACTTTATTTTGCTTCAATTAATGCTGAATATTGTACAAATAAAGAATTTGTGGATTTCGTTAGTTCTCTCTCATCTACACAAAGCTCAATCATATACTGTGTGATTTTTACTTTATTGTTTGATGTGCTAGTAAACTTTGAAAAGTTATACTCTCTTTGTCCCAAAATGGGTTTACACTTTCTATTTTAGGTATGTAAATAAGAATAAAGCGATAAATTTACCCTTACTTTTACTTTTTTCAATAACTTAAAGGCATCTACTTTTAGGAAGATGGACAAAAATGTAAAAAAGCAAGCATCGTTTATTGTCATTCTGTTGAAGAATATTTATGTTGTGATTCAAGTTTGTCAAAAGTCTTGTTTATTATTTATTACTTAGTTCTCTTATAAGCCTTTTATGGTATTTATCCATTTGTAATAAATAGGCTAGAAAAGGAATGAGATCAAATATGTTAGGCCCATATCCCTAGGCTTTAGGCCTTTTACGGAAACCTACGCCCGCGTCTATAAATATGCGCGTATGGTGTGGATGTCCGAATAATGAGCGTATAAGGATTCAATCATTCTATGTAGCTTTCTCGATATTTAATAGAAGAGAGATTTCACTGTTTGATACATTTAATATCATTATCTGAATCTTTGCTTCTTCATTATCGGTGAATCTATTCTGCTGATTGAGCGCTTATCTCATACATTTGGGACCAACAACTGGTATCAGAGCCAATTGAGTGAAGATCATCTGCGAAGAAATGCTTTGTTTTATGTTTTTCGATGTTTTAGCATTTTAGCTCTTGTAATCTTAATTTTTATCCAATTGCTGTAAAAGATATACTATTAGAATCGCCTCTCAGAACCGATCAACCATTATATCTTCATTTTCGATTCCTGTAGTATTCAGATTTTAGATTTCTCGATATTGCTATATGGAAAAATAGGTTTCTCGAGGTTGCAGAAGGTTTTTCCAATCGAAATCAGTACAGGACGTTTCTCGACATACAGGTTTTCGCAGTCGGAGTTTTTAATCAGCAGAATTCAGAATTTTCTAAGTACAAGATTTCGATATTCAGGATCTCGATATCTTAGTTCTCGAACTGAGTTCTCGAAATCAGTTTCTCGATAAGCTGTTTTCGATATTTGATTTCTCGATATTCGTTTTCGATATACAGGTTCTCGACTCAGTCTCTCGATATTCAGGTTCTCGATAATCAAGTTTTCGAACAAGATTTCTCGAACTTGACTTCTCGAAAGCAAGTTTCTCGAATTCTGTTTCTCGAATTCAAGTTTCTTGAAGCTCAACATCGAAATCTTATTTCTCGATAAACTTTTCTCGAATCACTGTTTCTCGAACTTAGATTTCCAAAGTCTAGGTTTTCGATGTTCTGTCTTTGATACTTGAATTTCTGTTAGAGATTTGATCAACCACTCGACGGTCAATTTTTAAAGAACAGCAAAATGGACGCTTTATCTCTCGGAAACACCAACAACCCTCCAATCCTAAGGAGAGGAGAATATCAGATGTGGAAGAATCGATTTCTGAACTTTCTAGAGAGTAAAGATAATTCATCAGCGATGCTCGAATCATTGAACCAAGGACCGGCTGAGATCTGGATGAACGTAATTGGAAATGACGTTAACAATCCTCCAGTTAACCCGATTAGAAGAGTGAAAACTGTAGCTGAGTACAATGATGAAGACAGATCGAGAGTGAGAGCTGATCTGATGGCTAAGACTTTCTTACTTCAAGCAATCCCTAATGACATCTACTTCTTGATTGATAGTATGCAAAAACCAAAGGAAATGTGGGATGAAGTTGGCAAATTGATGCAAGGGACTGATCTTGGATTGAAGACAACGAAGGTCAGCATACTAACTGCCTATGACTCCTTCAAAGTCGTACCTGGGGAACCACTTCATGAAACATACAACAGATTTGTGCAGCTGATAAACGAAATGAGAAAGATCAATGTGATCAAATCCAACATGAAAATGAATATACGTTTTCTGTCAAGTTTGAACCCAGAGTGGAGGAGAACGGTGAAGAATGTCAGGCAAAACCTGGATCTAGATAAAGTTGATCTTTATACCATTCATGACCATCTACAACAGTTTGTGAATGACACTGCTGAAATGGATGGGCAGTTTGCTGCTGATTCATTATCACTCATGATGGAAGCACAACCAAAGAACTCATCTAAGATTGAGAAGAAGAAGAAAGCAGTTGTTGTGTCTGAAGAAGAAGAAAGAGAAGAAGAAATTGATGTGAAGTCTGAGATGGCTGAGTTGCAGAAGAAGATGGCTCTCCTAACCAATCAATTCAACAACAAGTTTGTCAAGAAGAACAATTCATCAAACAAGCTAAGAATCTCATCATCTAACTATAAACAAAAGAACAATGTTCAGAATGCCTCTGGAAAGGCAGTTGCAGCTGAAGAACCTCCCAAGTGCTTTAATTGTGGAAAGACTAGACATGTCATCAAGGACTGTCGCTTACCAAGGCGGAGGGACTTCAATTATTATAAACATAAAATGTTGTGGAACAAACAAAAGATGTTCATGGCTAAGCAAGATGATGAGAGTGCTACACTGCTTGCTGAGAAGGATCATTGGCTCGATGACTCTTCTGATGATGAAGTTGAAGAAAACTTAGCTTTGATGGTCACAAGTACACTCTTGTTATCGTTAATGACTTCACTCGGTACACATGCACAAAATTCTTGCGAACGAAGGATGAAGCTGCAAATACCATCATAACATTCATCAAAACCATCCAGAACTTTCTACAGAAGAGTGTGCAAATAACCAGAAATGATAATGGTACTGAGTTCAAGAATCAACTTCTCACTGATTTCTATGAATCTCAAGGTATCACTCAGCAATTTTCAGCCGCCAAAACTCCTCAACAGAATGGGGTTGTTGAAAGAAGAAACAGGACTCTAGTTGAAGTTGCACGCACCATGCTGATTCAATCTAAACTTCCTCACTTCATGTGGGTGGAAGTTATCAATACTGCGTGCTTCACAAGAACAGAACAACGTACTATTCACAAACGCTTTGACAAGACTCCTTATGAGATACTCTTCAATAGGACCCCTGACATTTCTTTCTTCAAAGTTTTTGGCTGTAAGTGCTTTGTTCTGAATGATAAAAGTGAAAGAAGTAAGCTCGGTCAAAAAACCAAAGAATGTG